AGACAGAGACAGAGACAGAGACAGAGACAGAGACAGAGACAGAGACATGCGCACACACAGACACTAATAATGCTTTGGCAAAATAGTACCATAGCTAGTGGAATTTAAATTTAACTCGTTGAAAATTAGCCTCAGCTGACAGCAATTGTTATTAAGAATCCATGTGGTTCACTAATGCTCCTTTAGGGAATAAATCTGCCATCTTAATAAATCTTATATATGATTCCAGGTCCATAGCAATGACACTTATCTGCTGTCTGAAATGACTGAGCAGGGCACTTAGGATGAGCCACAAATGCTGAGCTTAGCACCACTCCCCATGTCATGAAATAGGAAAGTATCTGAGATGTCGGCTTTCAGACCAGATATAAAATCAAGCCCCAGCTTCTCTCTCCAGCAGAGATAGGTTGTCCCCACGACCATTGTTTCAGAAATGAGCAGGCTTCACCTTGGTGAAAAATGATCCTATTCTGAAATACCATAAAATCTTACTACTCAATTCACAAATATGGGGAACAAATCTAACACTTCCAAACATACTGACGATTCTTATCTTGGTGGGAATGGGAGCGGTGTGGAGGATCCAGAGAGGCTTCAAGAGGATTTAGACAACCATGTAAGTGGGATGTGGGCCAAATGCTGGCAAATGGGACTAAATTAATTTAGGATATCTGGTCGGCATGGACAAGTTGGGCCGAAGGGTCTGTTTCCGTGCTGTACATCTCTATGAGTCTATGACTCTATTTGGAGATGTGGTGGTCACTGACTCGGCCAGCATTTACTGCCCATCTCTGGGTTGCCCTGGAGAAAGTGACGGTGACTTCCTACAATTGATTTGTTCATATTTGTTCCCAGGATGTGGGCGTTTTTATAGACCATACCTAATTATCCCAGGGGGCAATTAAGAGTCAACCACATTGCTGTGCATCTGGAGTCACACGCAGGCCAGACTGGATAAGGATGGCAGATTTCCTTCCCTAAAAGGCATTAGAGAACCGGATGGGTTTTTCCAACAATTGACAATGGTTGCACGGCCAACTTTATTCCAGATATCTTTCCACTGAACTCAAATTTCACCGCCTTCCAACCCATACCTCTAGATCATTAGCCTGGGGTTAGATTATCTGCCCAGTGACATGACCACTATGCCATCACCTTCTCTAAATCTGGCATGGATACAATCAAAACACTATAACGGAGCAAATTCCAGGATCCGGACCCAACAGCACAGAAGGAATAGCCGATGTATTTCCAAGCCAGAATGGTGAGTAGCTCAGGGGTGAAATACCAAGGAGTGGTGTTCCCATGTGTCTGCTGCCCCTTATCCTTCTAGATGGAAGTGGTCGTGGGTTTGGAAGGTGCTGTCTGAGAATCTTTGGTGAATTTCTGCAGTGCATCTTGTAGACGGTACACACTGCTGTTACTGAGTGTCGGTGGGTGGAGGGAGTGGGATGTTTGTGGATGTGGTGCCAATCAAGGGGGGGCTGCTTTATCCTGGATGGTGTCAAGGTCTTGAATGTTGTTGGAGCTGCCCCCATCCAGGGGCAAGTGGGGAGTATTCCCTCACACTCCTGACTTGTGTCTTGTAGATGGTGGGACAGGCTTTGGGGAGTCAGGAGGGGAGTTACTCGCTGCAGTATTCCTAATGTCTGACTTGCTCTTGTAGCCACTGTGTTTATATGGCTAGCCCAGTTCAGTTTCTGGCCAGTGGTAATCCCCAGGTTGTTGATGGAGGGGGGTACGAATTCAGTGATGGTAACACCGTTGAATGTTTAGATTGTCTCGAATTGAAGATGGTCAGAGCCTGGCATTTGTGTGGCACGAATGTTACTTGCCACTTGTCAGCTCAAGCCTGGATATTGTCCAGATCTTGTTATATTGGAACATGGACTGCTTAAGTATCTGAGGAGTCACGAATGGTGCTGAACATTGTGCAATCATCAACAAACATCCCCATTTCTGACCTTATGATGGAGGGAAGGTCATTGATGGAGCAGCTGAAGATGGTTGGGCCTAGGACACTACCCTGAGGAACTCCTGGAGCTGAGATAATTGACCTCCCACAACCACGACCATCTTCCCATGTGTCAGTTAAGACTTCAACCCATTGGAGAGTTTTCCTTGATTCTCCTGGAGTTCTGAGGAAGGGTCACTCGACCCGAAACGTTAACTCTGATTTCTCTCCACAGATGCTGCCAGACCTGCTGAGCTTTTCCAGCAATTTCTGTTTTGGTTCCCCTCAGAGTCTCACTAACTCCAGCTTTACCTGGGCTCCTTGATGCCACACTCAGTCAAATGTTACCTTGATGTCTAGGGCTGTCACTCTCACCTCATGCCTGGCTTTTAACTCTACAGTCCACATTTGTACCAAGTCTATGATGAGGTCAGGAGCTGAGTGATAGAACCCAAACAGAGCAACAGGTAATGCTAAGCAAGGCTGAGGAAGGCATAATCTTTATTGTAACAGAGTTGAGTACAGGAATAAAGATGCCTTGCTTCAATTATTTGGAGCCTTGGTGAGACGCAACTGGAATATTGTGTAAAATAAGATAACAAGGTGTAGAGCTGGATAAGCACAGCAGGCCAGGCATCAGAGGACCCGAAACATCAGCTTTCCTGCTCCTCTGATGCTGTCTGGCCTGCTATGTTCATCCAGCTCTACACCTTGTTACCTCAGACTCCAGCATCAGCAGTTCCTACTATCTCTAGAATATTGTGTAGACTTTATGTTCCCTTACATTAGGGAAGCTATTGTAGTCTGTGAGGATGGGCAATGAAGGCTCCCAGACTGTTTCCTTGAGATGACCAATGAGGAGACATTGAGAAACCTGGACCTGTATTCCCTGGAGTTTCAAAGAGATGATCTGATTGAAGAATACAATATTCTTACAGGGCTTTGTAAGGTGGATGCATGAAGAAAGTAGGCACCTAGAACCAGGGGGCACAGTCTCAGGGTAAGGAGTTTGGACTTATCTTCATGCAAAGGGGAGGGAAATTTTGGAATCCTCTACCCCAGAGGGGCAATCAACATAAGCACACACATATTATTATCTTACAGTGTGTGGGATAGTCCTATGTGCTACGTTAATGCTCAAATTGTATTTATTCTGCAACAATTCTTGTACTTTGGGTCAGATACAGAATGAAGCTCCTACCTAGTCCCATCAAACACTTCCACAGCAGCTACAGAATGGAGTTAGATACAGAGTAAAGCTCAATGAACTGAAAGTAAAGCTACCTCGCCTCTTTTGAACAGAAATTAAATGTCTCTCGATACTTTCTCTATCAAACAATCCCAGCACAGGGACAGCATGGGGTTAGATACAAAGTACAGATCCCTCTACTATTTTAACCTAATAGTAAAGCTTCTTCTACACTGTCACCATCAAACACTCTCAGGACAGGCACCAGCACGGGGTCAGATACAGAGTAAAGCTCCCTCTACACTGTCCTCCCCATCAAACATTCCCAGGACAGGGACAGCACGGGGTCAGATACAGAGTAAAGCTCCCTCTACACTGTCCTCCCCATCATACATTCCCAGGACAGGGACAGCACGGGGTCAGATACAGAGTAAAGCTCCCTCTACACTGTCCTCCCCATCATACATTCCCAGGACAGGGACAGCACGGGGTTAGATACAGAGTAAAGCTCCCTCTACACTGTTCCGCCCATCAAACACTCCCAGGACAGGGGCAGCACGGGATTACATACTGAGTAAAACTTCCCGTACACTGTCCCCCCATCAAACACTCGCAGTGATCTCCAGGGTGAGAGAGAGAGAAGGGGAATCAGACAGGGTTCCTGATGACTGTCCAAGGTTACAGAGAGAGTTGGAGGGACATTGAAATCTATAAACATGCTTGAACCACAGACTATGAAATTGCACTTTGGAGAGGTTTCAGCCCAGTGCTAGCCGCAGGAAGGCTCCCCCAGTCCAGGTCCACCCTGATAACACTGAGAAATTGAACTGCTGAAGTTAAACCTGTCTCTCTCTCTCTCTCTCTCTCACACACACACACACACACTCAGGGACTTACCCCACTGCAGAAAGCTGGCGATATTCGGATCCTTTCGGAGCGGGGAGCTGCTGAACTCATAGTAAAGGCACAGCAGCAGATCGAGCAGGCACTCCACACTCAGGCGGGGTTCCGCCTCTCCAAAACCAGGCGCTGCCTGCACCATCTGCTGCTCCAAATCCCGCAAACGCTCTTCAGCGGACATGGTCCCTGTCTCCCTGTCT